ATGCCACCTACAAGCCCAAGAACCAGAGAAGCTGGTAGCATGGTCCAGTCCAAATCTGAAGAATCCAGAGCCAGTGAGGCTGATGGCTTAATTTTCAGACTGAGGCTGAAAGGGACTGGGAAATCTAAGTGGCTGATGAGGGAAGTCTTAGAGTCTAAAGTACATAGAGCCTGGCGTTCTGATATCCAAGGATACAAGGTGAATGTTCTCATTGAAAGGGAAGAGGGATTTCCCTCTGCTTTTTTTTCAGATCTGGTATCTTATCCGGTTGGATGGTTCTCCCCCCACACACAGATTGGGTGAAGGTAGATCTTCTTTAGTCTATTGATTTAAGTACCACTGTCTTCTGGAAATATCCTCACAGACTTACCTGGATAACACTTTAAGGCTTTCTGGGAATCCCTTAACCCAGTCAAAAGGACATGTAAAATTACCCATCACACATAGATTGGACTACCCAGATATATTTCCTTTTTCTTTCAGCTGAGAGGGCCCAGAAGCAATGACGTCCTGAAGCAACAGCACAAGTAACACCCACATCATGCTTTAAAATACCATGTTTCAATAAAAGGAATGAGAGGTCCCCCCAGAATGGCTGATCTGGCTCTCAGGCAAGAAAATGTAAGGTGATCCTGAAATATTTTATAGTGCCAGGAGTAAAAATTGCTTTTCAAAAAAAAAAAAAAAAAAAGGAGCAAGGAAGAATTTTTAAAAGAGACATCTGAAGGAGCTCCCAATGATGAAAGTTGGAAATTTTTGAACAATAGAACAAGTAAAGTAAGCCTGGTGTGGTGCACACACCTGTAATCCCAGCTACTCAAGAGACTGAGGCAGGATGATCACAAGTTCAAGGCCAATCTGGGCAAGGTGGTGAGACACTATCTCAAAAGGATGTGTAGTTTGGTGGTAGAGGTCCCCTGGATTCATTCCTCAGTAACCTGAGGGTATGCAGTATCAAGTAGCAGTAAGCTATAACACAAAATATCCATGAATACTGATAGATGAATAATCAAATGAATGAATAAATAAACCTAAAGAGACTAAACTCATGCAAAGGGATTCCAAATTATGTGTGTAGATACTCCATTCCAAAAGACGTGAGATATAACTTACTACTTCTTAAATGTGAGGGGAGCATATCTCATCCTTTCAAAGAGTGGAGTATAAAAAGGGAGAAAGAGAGATGTGACCCCACAGTGAAGAAACCCAACACCCACTAGCTCAGCCAGGCAATCATCAATACCGACGTACACTCCCACCAAAAGGGGGAAGGGCTCCTTTTACCCCACAGCCTTGCCAGCCTTTGTTATTGGTTGATTTCTTGATAATAGCCATTCTTTCTGGAGTGAGATGATCTCAGTGCTCTTTTAATTTGCATCTCCTGATTGACCAGTGAAGTTGAATGTGTTTCCATATATTTACTTACTGTTTGTACATCTTCATCTGAGAAATGTGTGTTCACTTCAGATACCCATCTTCCGATTGGGTCTTTAAAATGAGGGGGTCTGAGCGTGTTTTGGTTCTTTATATAGTCTAAATATTAGTGCTTTGTCTCGGGAATAGTTGATAAAAATTTTTCCCGTTCTGTGAACTGTCTCTTCTCTCTGTGGGTGGTTTCTTTTGCCATGCAAAAGCTTGACCCAGCTATTCTTCTTTTGGATACCTTCCCAAAAGGGTTAAAAGCATCATACCACAGCGATATATGCACAGCCATGTTTACAGCAGCACAGTTTATAATAGCTAAATCTTGGAAACAGCCACATGCCCATCAATGGATGAATGGATGAAGAAAACATGGTTTTCATATATAATGGAATACTAATCTGGCATGAAAAAAGGTAAACTTGAGACATTTTTAGGTAAATGCATGTGCTTCAAGAACATAATTTGAATCTGTTTTCATGAGAAGCCACTTTGAAGATATCAATATGTAATACAACCACCATTGTTAATTCCCTGCCACTTTGTTTGTAACTCTGTATTGTCTGTATTGTGCTTGTGATATGTTGTAAAATGTTGTATATCTGTTAATGTTTCCCTCCTTTTATCTTTAAAATAAAAAAAAGAACATAATTTGAAGCAAAATAAATGAGACACACATATTTAAATATTACATTGTTTCTCTCGAGTGAGAAAACCAAAGGGTAAGTAAGGACCACCATGAAGAACAGATATTGGGAAGTGGGACGAAAATGTTCAAACAGGAAAGGGGAACAAGGGGAAGGAAGGAGATAGGGAGAGAAAAAAGTAATGGAAAGAAACAATAGTACCAAAGTTCTATAAATGGGGAGGTGAAGAGGGATTGAAGGGAAGAGGGGAATGGCAAAAAAGAGTTAAGATATATCATGTACAGGTACAAACGCCCTATGATGAATGTGATTATTATGCATGCAAAAGTTGTACCGATAAAATTAATTTTAAAAATCCAGACCAAAGGTAATAGGTCACAGCCTAGGATCCACCCTCCAGAGGGTGGGATGAGAACGGCGTTGGCCTTCTGTGCCATTCCCAAGTACCTGTGACACAAGTGCAGTCATGGGCAAGGCAGCAGATAAGTCCCCCGTTTGTTGCTAGCTTTCTCTAGGGGAATAGAGCCAATTGCAGTCTCTATAATCATAAGAGGGGATCTGTTGGGCTGGCCCATACAATCAGGGTCCGGATACTTCCAAATGGCATTTTGCGTTCCCGGTACCAGAGAAAAAACCAAAAAAAAAAAAAAAAAAATGGCATTTTGCAATCTGGACACCTGGGGAAGCTAGTGATTGCTGAGTCCAAGGTGTGGAAGCCTTAAAACAAGAGAGACTAGGATGCAGTGCCCATCTGAGGCTGAAGGCTAGACGCTTCCTGGAGGGTGACCAGTATGTGTCTATGGTCCAGGGCTGAAGAATCTGGACTCTGACATCTATGGGCCAGGGCAACAGCAAGCCACACTTCCCCTCCCAACAGGCTCAACCAGGAGCTCCTATTTTCTGATTTTATACATCTGGGCTCCCAGCCCATTGGACAGTGCCACCCACATCCAGGGTGGGCCTTCCTCCCTTCAGTTCAGTGACCCACCTGTCAAGGTATCTGAAAACATGCCACAGACACACCCAGAAGTGTACTTTTCCAACCTGTGAGGCATCCTGCAATCCACCCACAGTTAACCATCAACTGACTCAGTGATACTCTACAAAATATCTGACCAGGACTTCTCGAAACTCTCAGCATTATCAAAAGAAGGGAAGTTTTGGAGATGAACACAACCAAGAGGAGCCTGAGGAAACACAAGGGCTAAGTGTTATGAGTTTCCAGGGTGGGATCCTGGGACAGAGAAGGGACTAAAAACTGGTTTTAGTTAGTAAGACTGTATCCATATCTGTTGGTTAATGCACCATCCTAATGTAATACACTAAAAATAGAAGAAACTAGATGTGGAATATATGCAAATATTCTGTACTATTTTTCTAACCTTTCTGTAAATATAATTTATTTAAATTTTTCTTGTTTAAAAAATATATGTACAACCATGTTTATAGCAGCACAATTTGCAATAGCTAAATCTTGGTAATAATCCAAATGCCCATCAGTCGAAGAAAGTTCTGAAATCCTGTAACATTCTTATTGTCTTTGCTTTGCTTTGTTTTTGTCTATGTTGTTGGCACTTTGCTATTGCCCTTTTTTTTCAATTCTCTTTAAAATAAAAAAAAAAATTTAAATATATGGTATTTTTATACAATGGAGTACTACTCAGCCATGCAGAAGGATAATCATGAGACCTTTATAGGTAAATGGTTGCAATTTGAGACCGTAGTCATACATGAAATAAATCAGACTCACATATGTAAACATCATATTGTCTCTCTGGTATGAAAAAGTGAAAGAGTAAGTAAGGTTTAAAATGTACAATAAATATGGTGAAATGGGAAGAAACGATAAAAAAGGAAAAAGAAATTAGGATGGGAGAAAGGGTAAAGAAAAAAAGGGAAAAGGAGGAAAATGCAAGTTAGCTATGCTATTAAAGTCTCTCTCTTTTTTTTTTTTTTTTTGTCTTTTTGAGACAGGGTCTCTCTATGTAGTTCAGGCTGATCTTTTTTTTATTTTAAAAATAAAAGGAGGAAAACATTAACAGACAGACAACCTTTTACAAAATAGCAAAAGAACAGTACAGACAATACAGAGTTACAAACAAAGTGGTAGGAAATTAACAATGCTTGTTGTATTACATACTGGTATCTTTGAAGTGTTTTCTCATGAAAATAGATAGAGACATGCAATATTGATCAATCAAGGACTCATTAACAGTTTCAGGCTGATCTTGAACTCACTTTGTAGCCCAGGCTGGCCTTGAACTCTCAGTGATCCTCCTGTCTCAGGCTCCCGAATGCTGGGAATACAGGTGTATGCCACCATGCCTGGTGCTATTAGTGTCTCTTAGTTCACTGAAAAGAAAGTTCATGCTAATATCTCTTGGAGGATTTTTTTATGTCTATATCTTTTACTCTGAGTATCTACTTTGAAGATGACAATGTGCAACGTATTAACTGTTGTTATTCTTCAATTATTTTGTTATGAAATTCTGTCTTACCTTTTTTCAACAAAATAAAAAATAAATCAATAAATAAAGGTAGCTGCAACTTCAGACTCAGAGAATCTTCACTGAAGGTATTTTCTCAAACAGGTATGTTTTGCCAGTATCTGAAGGTAGAAATTTTGACCCTTCCATACAGACGAGAAAACTGAGGTCTGAGAGAAGCAAATTACCCTGTGCCACACAACTAGCAAGAGGCAGGGCCAGGGTGTGAACCCACTGAGCCATGACAGCCAGGGACGCCCACGCTCTTGCGTCTCCTGCGTGGCCTCTGGCAGGCTGCCATGTTTGCATTGGCAGAACTCTTAAGTGCACCTGTGCATGCACACAGTCCTCTGCCCCAGCCTTGGCCAGCCTTGTTCACCAGTTTGAAACAGCCTTAGGCATCAGGATTGCAGCATCTTCCCTCTCTTTTCCAGAATGTCTCCTGGTAGGCGGGGGTTCAACTTTCCCAAAGAGCTAAAATGACACCCCAAAGCCTTTCTGTACATCCACCCTGTCCTTAGCCAACATTTGACCTACAGCTCCACAGGAAGAGAGTGAGGGAGAAAAGTTGGGAGGACTTGGCTGTCAGACAGAAGGTAAGGAGCATAGCTTATGATGCTTCATCCTGGTAGAGGTGAGACCCTCTCTCTGGGTATGACACTGGCAAAGTTATTGGCACAGCTTCTGCCATGAGGGACACTATGGTCAGAACTTGTTCCTCAAAGTCCATGTATTGGCAACCTCACCTTCAGTGCCACGGCAGGACCTTGAAGAGAGCAGAGCCCTCAAAAATGGATCAGTGTCATTATCACTTTCTACCCCTTCATGCTCTTTCTTGCTTTCCTGCCTTCTGCCTTTCATCATAGCACAATGAGCCAGGGAGTCCCTTGCCAGGTACGAGGCCCTTGCCTGGTACTGGCCCCTTAACCTTGGACTGGAAAATGAAAAGGAGAGAGCAAAAGAGAAGGGGAGAAGGGAGAAGGGAGGAAGGAGAGAGGGGGAGACGAGGCAAAGAGGGAGGGAGGGCAGGAAGAAGGAAGGAAGGAAGGAAGGACGGAAGGAAGGGAGGGAGGGAGAAAAGGAGGGAAGGAAGGAAGGAGGGAGGAAACAAGGAAAAAGACAGGAAAAAAGGTGGGAGGGAGGAAGAATTTAAACTTTACTGCATAAATTATTCAGTATCCAGTATTCTGTTAAGCAGCACAAAGCTGAGTAAGACAAGAGGTGTGCTGTACTTTTAGGTGTGTACTGGTAGGAGCCTACACTTTCCTTATCTGCCCGGTGCACCTATTTAGAAGTTCTTTGAAAGTATTCATTCATGTTTCTCCATGAGAACAAGGGCTTCACCTCCTCTTTTTGGGTCCACCTCATCTAGAACTCCACCTGGCACAGAGAGGACCTGCAGGAGAAGCACTGACTGAAGGACCTCACGAGGCACACTGTCCCAGCACCTCCAGGCACCACACCCAAGCTAAGAGGGGGCACAATCAGGACTGAGCCACCATTGTCCCTGGGACTTGAGGTTGGGAGAGGATAAGCAGAGACCCAGACCATCCCCTCCCGGGAGGCTGGGACCCGGAGGAGGGCGTGCCTACTCCTGGCGAAGGGTCTTCCTCAGTGTGGCTGGAGGAAGTGGGAAGCTGTTTCCTCCCAGCTGCAGTCATGGAGCCACAGAGTCGGGATTCATGGCAAATTAAGTTGTTGATTTGTACGTTAAATGAGGTTAATTCCATCCATTAACCAAAGATGTTTTCAAAGCGCCTGGTGTAAGAGCGAGGAGCAATTAGTGTCTTTGTATTAGTGGATGTGGGCCAGGCCGTGAGGGGAGGGGGATGAAGCTTATGCACTCTTTATGATATCATCAAAAGTAAATGAATTATGAAAACAAAAGAGCCAGTGTGAGGCTGCCTGAGCTGATAACTGAGGAGAACAGAAGGTTCTCAATGGAGAAGGGGAGAAGGAACAGCAAGGAGGGTGCGGATCCTTCTGGCTTGCCTGTGGTTTTCAACGAGGCAGTGGCTTCCACACTGCCACCTGGGCACTCTACAGAAAGAACTGGTTTTGCTTCAGTTAAAGAGGCTGGGTCATGAGGGAGGATTGGGGTTGTTATTCTTGTTATTGTTTGTGGGTTGGTTTTTAATTTTCTTTCTGGCATAAGCCTTAACAATGTTGAACAATAAATGAACTTGGTTCAGAGGGTCCTTTACGCCTGATGGAGGAGTTACTGCTAATAGACCTGGAGCTGGCTGTTTTATGTAAGGGAATGGTAAGGAGACTTAGTGTCCTCAACAAAGAACCCACAACTCTGCCATTTCCTGGAGCTGTGGTCCATGCAGACCCCGGAGCCATCCCTGGGGTAATGGGAGGCATGAGTCTCACAGGGGTGAGAAGAGATGAGCCATGCATGGTGACCCACATCTGTAATCCCAGCTACGCAGGAGACTGAGGCAGGAGGACTGCAAATTCAATTCAACTGGGCAATTTGGTGACTTACTGAGACCCTGTTTCAAAATTCAAAAAACTAAATTTAAGAGGGGGAGGGCTAAAGATATAGTTCAGTACAAAGGTCCTGGGTTCTATTCACAAGACTGTCAAAGAAGAAAGAGGAAGAGAAGAGAGAGCGGGGGAGGACATGATTTGATGGGTGCCGTGGTGCATGCACATGTCAATAGAAAACTATTTCTCTTTCAATCTTTTTGCCACTTCTTTCTGATTAGATCAAGGAAAAGAAAGGTACTGGTCTGTCTTTAACACCTCCTTTAGAAACTGCTAAACTCCTTTTTAACCGAAGTCTGGCAGAAAACAACACTGAATAAGACCCTCATAACAATTCTCTCCAATGTATTTATTGTTTCTTTTTATTTTAAAAATAAAAAAAAACTAACAAAACAACAATGATGACAAAATCAAAACAACACAAAAACAACAAAAAAACGATACAGGACCTCAAAACAAAATGATAGGAATTTACAGTGGTTGCTACATTACGTATTGTTATCTTCAATGAAGTTGCTCAGTCTACCAGACATAAGAATGTAAGATTGATCAAACAATTAAACACTTGTGAATGCAAAATGATTGTGGCTTTCCATCAACAGTAATAATATAAAGTTGTGAGTCACAATAGTGAATTTACATCTAAAATGTATAACTTTATGAGTGAACAATAGTTACAGAAATGGTGCTTGAATTAAGTGATGCCTGTAAAACAGCGGTGTAACAGAAGGAGCACACACAAGAGGGATTAGGAAAACAGATTATTAAGTCCTAGTCTACTGCTGGGTGACCTCAGACAAGGCCTACAGCCTCTCTGACCCTGCTTCCCTAAACACAAAGTACTGGTTGGATAAGATTCTCTCTCAGATGCCAACAATCTGTGATATAATCCTTTCTTTCCCCAAGGCTGAGTTGAGAAAACAGACTTGAAATATTCAGAAGTACACAGATGTCAGCCTGACATGTAGTAGGTGACCAACAAACTGGTTCCTCCTACCTCTCCCTCCCTCTCCCTCCCCTCTAGACCTTGTCAGTTACTCGAAAAGTAGCTCCACCAGCAAAAGATACACACCAGCAAGTGAAAAACAATGAGCAAATATAGTGAAACAGAAAAGTATTTTGAAAAATACACCCTTCCTACTAAAGCTGATTGGAAAGCAAGAGGTACTCATCCCACACCAAAAATTTCTGGTAAATGTTATGACTAATCATCTGAAAGCATTTGGCAATCATAGCTGGATGTTTTCAAAATAACTGGTGGCATTCCATACAGAGGGCTAAGGAAATCAGGAGAAATACATGGAGAAAACTGGTGAGAATGGTTATGAGGTCCTAGAGGTGGGAACTGGCATGACATTTTGTATTTTCACCATTAGCACATAAAATCAGTCCTCCATACCCACTGGTCCACCATCCATGGATTCAATCAACTGTGGGTGAAAAATGTTAGCTTTTTTTTTAAAATTGCGTTTGTTCTGAACATGTGCAGACTCTTTTCCCTGTCATTATTTCCTAAACCCCACAGAATAATGACAATTTACATGGCATTAGGGATTATAAGTCATCTTGAAATGATTTAAAGTCTACAGGAGCATGTGTATAGGTTCTAGGCAAACACTATGCTAGCTGTTTTACATAAGGGACTTGAACATGTGAAGATCTTGCTATCTGCAGAGCACCGTAAACTCAAGCTCTGTAGATACAGAAGAATGAATGTATAGAGAAAACTAGCAACAATCACCACAAAGTCCCAGCGGTGAGAACTGGGATGGCATGCTGCATTTACTTCATTAGCATTTACTACCTTTTGTAATCCGAGACCAAAACCTCAAAATATAGATGCATATATTTTTTTAACATTTTGGAAATAATCTGGGGAGGTCAACATTTTTAATAGGATTACAAACTCAAAGGTGTATGGTATTGAGATAGAAAATACAATGGGTAAAGATCAATAACTGAAGTAGGCAGAAAGACATTTGAGGATCAAGAGAGGACCAGTGAACTTCAGACCACTGTAACACCTGGCCTGTGTGCTTAGAGATGTCAGGCCATTCAGTTGTGCAGAGAAAAATAAAATGGAAATGCAAATTTAAATGTGAAATCCTCCATTCATCCATTGGGAGCTTATTTCTTAAATACGGTGGTTGGCCCTCTGATCACCAGTTTTAAATCTTTGCCCCAAATCCATAGCAAATCCATTCAGAAGTTCCACTTCTTTGGAGCCCTGGGAAAGTGAGACATGAGTAATCTCTCCTTGGGCCTTTGAGATCCATGAGCTCACAACAGGAGGATGAGGATCTCCAGAAAGTACTTCAGATGTCCTGTCTTGTCCTCGTACCGGTGTCGACATTCCCAGGGTGCCTGATTCCACAATACTCCCTCTCACCTGGAAATGCAATTACTAGCTCACTCTGTTTCCCCTCCTGGGCTTTCTGCACAGCCTAGGTGCTTAGAAACATTTTGTTGAATGGGTGAGTAAATTACTAAAGAGACTATACGTAAGTTGCTGAAGAGGAATTTAGCTGAATTCAAGAATTCATGAGACTATGGTGAAATTCGTTTCCCTGCCTTGGTCACGTGTCTTTCCTAACAGGCCTGCTCAGTTTCATCTTTCCGTGCTCTGGACAAGCACTTCCATTACAGTAGTTTGTGACTATTACGTGGAAAAAGAAACTCAAGTTCAAAGAAGCTTTGAAAATCTTGGATTTTGCTACAATCAAAATACTTTTTAAATCACAGGACTTTTCAGGGGTTTTAAGCACTAATGATTTTCAGTCTTTATCTTTCAGTTGAGGAGTGACTCACTAGAGAAAGCGTTCCAGGGTAAACAGTTTCAGAAATACTGTTCTAGGAAATTGAAAGTCGAAGATCCAGAAGGATGTGCCTATGCTGCTATTGGGTCTCTTAGTTGACAGCCAGCTCTCCATGGCAGAGCCACTGCCTCAAGTTTGGCTGAAGTGGTACTTGGGGGAGGGACAGGACCCCAGCTCCCCACTTCCTGATGTCTACCACCATGTGCAGGGCTCTTCCTCACTACACTCTAGGCATGAGTTTTACTATTTTACAGGTGACAAAACTGGGGCTCAGAGAAATTAAGAGGCACCCATCTTTTTAGAATTGTGGTAAAATATATAGAACATGAAGTTTGCCATTTTAAATATATGATCCAGCGGCATTAAGTCCACTCACAATATTGTGCAACTTTTCCCACTATCCATTTCCAGAATTTTTTCATCATCCCAAACAGAAATTCTATGTTCATTAAACAGTAATTCCCCACTCACACCTTCCCTAGGCACCGGCCACCTCTAATCTCCTTTCTGTCCCTGTAAATTGATTTTTCCAGAAACTTTACATAAGTGCAATCATAAAATATTTATCCCTTTGTGTTTGATTTATTTTATTTACTATAATGATTTCTCATACTATCATTACCTGTTGCTTGTGCCATTTACCACAGTGGTTTGGATGTCCACCCATGCTGCAGCGTGAGTCAGAATTTCCCTCCTTTCTAAGGCTAATATTCCTCTGTATGTACATACTTTGCTTTTTCATTCCTCCTTGGTGACCAATAGTTGTTTCTTCTTTCTGGCTATGATGAATAACATTCTTATGAACATGTATGTATAAGAATTTATTCAAATCTTGGTTTTTTTCTGCATATTTTGCAGTTATTTGAGGCACTGCCAAGCTCTTTTCTACAGTAGCTGCACCCCTTTTCATTCCTACCAGCAATGTACAAAAGTTTCAATTTTTCCACCTCTTTTCCAACACTTGTTTTCTTTTTTTTTTTCTTCTTTTTGAGACAGGGTCTTGCTATGCAGTTCAGGCTGGCCTTGAACTCACTTTGTAGCCCAGGCTGGCCTCGAACTCACAACGATCCTCCTGCCTCAGCTTCCCTAGTGCTCTTATTGTGGTTTTGATTTGTAACTTTGTAATAATGATTAGGGCTTTAAGCATCTTTTCATGTACTTATTGGCCATCTGCATATCTTCTTCGGAAAAATATTCCAGTTCTTTGCCTAATTTTGAATTGTGCTGTTTGTTGTTGTTGAGGTATAGGAGTTCTTTATATATTCCAGATAGCGATTCTTAATCACATATGATTTACAAATATTTTCTCCCTCTCCTAATTTTCTTTTCACTCTTTTGCTAGGGTTTTGTGGTATAGAAAAGGCTTCAATTCTGATGAAGTCTAATTTTACCTTTGTTTTCATTTTCAGTTGTTTGTGCCATTGATGTAACATCCAAGAATCATTACCAAATATAATGTCATGAAGATGTTTTCTGTGTTCTCCTTTAATAATTTTAGCTCTTAAGTTTAAGTCCATTTTTTGAAAAGAATTTCACGTACATTGTGAACCTTCATTCTGTTGCACATGAGCATCTAAATT